AAACGGACCGCCACAGTTCGCACCTTTAGTTCGCGACCGTAAACCACAGAATGGTCACTTAGTACGGAGAACTACTATATAGAAATACCACAAGTCAATTACCAAAAGAAAAGCACGGCAAAGTCCTGTTGCTAGATCGTTTTTTACACTTGAAGAGGAAACGCATTGAAGGTGTTTTCCTGTGTTTTGGGCCTGAAGCCGCTTGTGATGCCCATTTGACAGTTTTGGTGATCGAACACAAACGCTTGGTGTTTGCAGGTCAAAGCAGGATGTTTCTCAGCCCTGAGGAGTATTAGTATAGGAAATATGGAGATATCAATTTTAGACTATATTTTTTGCGCAGGCGACGCTGGATCATGGTTGAAAGAGTCGCTCGCAGAATTCAAAAGGTAAGTTTTGCTGTTCGGAACAGTACTTGTTACAAGTACCACGCTAGTAGTAACAAGTGCCACGCTAGTAGTAACAGGTGCCTTACTAGTAGTAACAAGAAGCTAGTAGTAACAACGCCTTTTGCACCTTGCACTTTGCATGATGTTGCGTTGCGAGGCGTCCTTTGTTCGGCCCAAAGGGCCATGGTTTTTCCGGACCGATGCCGGACCGGACCCAAAAACGGACGGCCCGTGAGTCCGCATTGGGACTCCGTCTGTTTTGTTTGGTTTTTCTCTTTCAGAGCGGAACCCAACATTCAGCGGAACCATGCTTTGGTGCCACTGATTTTTTGCTGAGTGTGTAGGACATCGTGTAGGAGAGTCTAGTACGACTTGAAGACGTGTGGGGAGTTGGTACCGAAGAGTGGGACAGGCCCTTTCATCGTTCGGATCCACTCAGAGGAACACAAGGTGGCGTGAAATTATTCAAGGAGTTGTAGAGAGAATTAACTCTGACGGACCGGATTGGAGTTGTAACTTGTCAGAGCTTGAGCGTCGACCCACCTGGCATTGGCAAAAGTGAAGCAATTTTGGGAATGCAAAGCCAAGTGGCCAACTGAAACATTTCCACAAATATGTTTTGCATTGGGGGGGTGCCAAATCATTGTGACCGTCCGTAGAATGAACATATCACTTAGTAGTAGCAGTATGTGTTCAAAAGAAATCAGCAGATGCCCATGACGCATCATCATCCACGCTTACAGTGAATTGTAAAAATGGAACCGATGGAGATGGAATATTACGAAAACGGCAAGCCTTGCCAGAGGACTTCCGCAACTCTGAGGAAGGACTACTTGAACGGCTCCTTTCCTGTCCATGACGATTTTCCTCTGGTGATTTTTGAAGATAGTCCGACTGCTCAGTTGATCGACTCGATTTGGCCCTCGGTAGATCGGTCGAACAGTAATTAGTACTGTCACTGGTCACAACTAGAAACTGTGGGGAGGGAAATGGGACCATGTGAGACGATGCATGTGTCAAGTTTTTTGCGGAAGATCTTGGAATGCAGGCGTTTGTTTCACCCTTTAAAACACATGCCTTCATCAGCGTGTGGGCCTAAAGATCCTCCGTCGTGTTTTGGTTAAGCTGCTTCTGAGGCTACCTACCCTGCCAGTTGCAGCGTGACCTCTTCTCGGGCAGTCAGCGTCCTGAGGTCTTGTTTGGGAGCCCTAGGAATCGGCAGCCAATCGATGCGGAGCTTCTTCGTCGGGTTGTCAAAACAGGCCGCGTTCGGTGGGCGAATAGCTGTTGGGCGAAGTGGGTGGAGAAATGTGGAGATGTGCGCCGAGCCCAGCACGGGGTTTGATTTTGGATGGTTGGCTTTTTGGCTATAAGCTTTTTTGCGTGAACTCTTTGGAAATTTGAATACTCCCAATGAGGTATCCCGTGCTCCACACTCACTCGACCCCCCGCTGTTTTCCATGCAGCTCCCAATTTCCGGCCGAGGTCCCACATCCACGCGGAGCCCATCTTCAGCCTGGGCCGGCGGCATAGCTATGTAGCCTTCCACCGCCGGGTACCTCAGAATTGACTATCTTGCAGGGAACATGGGATGAAAGTGTGAGGGATGATGCGAGCTAGTCACGGAAGGGTCGTCTTAGCTACCTGAGTTCTATCTTGCGTAAGCAAGGGGGCTGCATCGTTGAAAGTCCTGGATTTTTGAATATATATCAATGTAATGATTTATTCGTCGGGGGAGGGCCCTCCCCCCCTCTCCGGCGGTTCAACTCCCACTGTTGGGCATCAAGATCATCATCATACATGAGATGATTTTGGCAAGGTCAGGTGAGGGTTGTTAGATTTTATGTCGGCTGCCTTGCTCCTCCGCCTCCTCCTCGTCCTCCTTCTCCACCGCCTATACTTGACCGCCAATCGCCGGATGGCAGTGCTCCCCGCCGCACCTCAACCGCCAGCTCCGGACGGCAGTGTTCCCCGTCAGCGGACGGCCGGACCTCAACCGCCAGTTCCGGACGGCAGTGATCCCCCGCCGGACCTCAACCTCCGAATGGCAGTGTTCCCCGCCGGACCTCAACCGCGAGTCAGAAGATATGCCAGATAGAACGCCAGAAAGAATGTCAGAAGACGCCAGAAAGAATGTCAGAAGATGTGCCAGAAAGAATGTCAGAAGATATGCCGGATAGAAGGTCAGAAGATATGCCAGAAAGCGTGTCAGAAGACCAGACAGCTGTCCGAAGAGATGCCATAAAGGATGTCAGAAGATATGCCGGAGAATGTGTCAGGAATTATGTCAGATGAAAGAATGTCAGAAGATAATATGCCGGAAACATGTCAATAAATGTCAGAAGACGCGCCAGAAAGAATCCAAAAACAATGTTTCCATATGTTTCAATATGTGCCAGAAATGTTGTCAGATTGACATGTCATGGTGGGAATCACACGAAGTAAAGTGATTATACTTGAACTTTGGTTGGGTCTCAGGTCATTTACAGAGATCCAAGAGACATATGGTGCCATCAGTGGCATCATCACATAGATTTGGTGATGAGGAGAAGAAAGAAGAGGACATATCTCCGCGCTCCTTCGGTGAATTTTTGTGGAGAGCGGAAAAGAAGTGAAGGAAGAAGTTCAAGAGCTTCAACTGCCACTGTCGGCATCATTGTAGATGAGCCCTACCTATCATTCACCCCTCAAGTAGTTGTGGCAATAAGATGCAATAAGATGAAGTAGTGAGAGTTGTATCAACAGTAGATGATGTCGTCAAGAACCATAGTGGGGAGCACTGCCGTCCGGAGCTGGCGGTTGAGGTCCGGCTTGGAATACTGCCGTCCGGAGCTGGCGGTTAAAGGCCATCGGGAGCTGGCGGTTGAGGTCCGGGGGAACACTGCCATCCTGCACGCGCGGTTGAGGTCCGGCGGGGAGCACGTGCCATCCGGAGCTGGAGGTTCTTGCATCCGGAGCAAGTGGCCGGGAACACTGCCGGGCGTCCTCGCAGTTGAGGCCGGGTGGCGGGCGAGGCGGAGTGCAGCTGACTTAAGATCTCCTGACAGGTAGCAAAAACAAGTAAAAAACACATGGACATCTCTATAGCTTTCACTGGCCATAAGATGCAACAAGGTCTTCATGGTAGCTGGTAGCTGCCAAACGACATCGACCCGGACCTCAACCGCCAGTTCCGGACGGCAGCGATCCCCGCCGGACCTCAACCGCCAGCCCCGAATGGCAGTGTTCCCCGCCGGACCTCAACCACGAGTCAGAAGATATGCCAGATAGAACGCCAGAAAGAATGTCGGAAGATGTGCCAGAAAGAATGCCAGAAGATGTGCCAGAAAGAATGTCGCATGTCAGAAGATATGCCAGACAGCTTTCCGAAAAGATGCCGGAAAGAATGTCAGAAGATATGCTAAAAAGAGTGTCAGAAGATATGCTAGAAAAAGTGACCAAATGAATGTCAGAATGCCAAAATATTGTTTCAATACGTGCCAGAAATTTTGTTAGATTGACATGTCAAGGTGGGAAACTCGAAGTAAAGTGATTATATAATATTATATATTTGAATTTTGGGTAGGTCCCGACGGAGCCCGTCCGCCTAGCGTGGCTATTGGGGAACAAACGAACAAACACAAACACATCCACAAACACGCAATGCAATCACATATTTCTCACTTGTTTCAGGCACCTTGGTTGATTGAAGTAGCCCAGGTTACGCTCAAACCGCCCAGACCGCCTTGGTTCGAACCGTCCCAGATCCCACCTGAAACACGTAGACGACTGAATGAGATGAAAGGACCTGGTCGATTCCCAGGTCGAAATGCGTCCTGGATGGGCCAAGTGCTGGGTCGAAGCGCTTGGTTTCTGGCACCGCCTGAGGTCCAAAGGCGGATATTTTTTCCGGTTGGGCTAAGAAGTTTCAAGGGCCCACAGAATAGGACACTGTCTCAGACTAAGATGTTTTCAGTTTTTATTGTAGTTCATTTGTATTTTTGTTTATCTAGTAAGAACAATGAGAGTTTTTGTTTGTCCGTAATCTAGGTGCGCACTAAAGTTCCACTGGATGGTTCGCTTCACGGCTGACCATTTGTGAATGCTCACACACTAGTCAGTCCTGATGGTATAAACAGTTGTATCATACCGCAGTCACACAAACCATGCTGTATTTCGTGTGTGCTTACACGTTGTCGCTAATCAGGTGTGACAATTTTGCCATCTATGCATGTATGTCTACAGACCACCATTGAAATGTGAAGGACCTTGGTTTCAAGGGGAGCTTGGACTCTACTTCCTATTGGCTGTCCCTTCGTTCTCCCGAGGATCCGGTGAAAAAAAGGAACAGGACGGTTCTTCTAGGCCGGATCGGCACATGGCATAGATCCCAGATAACAACGAACTAATTTCAAAAAAACTAAGCACCTGCGACCAGAAATCAACCAGTTCGCACAAAAATTAACTTAAGAACTTCCAAGTGAGGAGACAGGTAAGGAGACAAGGCAGCAAGGAGAAAAATGGACAAATAGTAACCCCAGAACTTAAGCCTTTCTCTGGTCTTGGAGTCTTGAACATACACTTGTTACAACATCAGCTCCTGGTGGATTTCATGTCCAAAAAGGGCGAGAGATGCCGCCACCGACTAGGCTGGAGATAGCCGAGCCATGGAACTATGTGGCTGAGAAGCCATCCGAAGCATCTCATTTAAAGCCAATCGGGCACGGAAAACATGGTGGTTTTTGTGAAGATTCTTTTTAGCAGTGGGTTTGGAAGGCGCATGATAGCGCCCAATCTTCGAGCCAGGGCCATACAAACCAAGGGAAAGATATAGCCTATATAATACTATATAATGATGTTCCAAGACATGTTTCAGTGGTGTTGTCACATTTCAACTGATCTGGGGACAACGGGGACAACTAACTATTTATTGGATTTGTTCCCATCTCATGGTGTTTTTGGGGGCTACAAGTGACAAGTTTTGGAAGACAGATGCAAAGCTTCACCATCATGAAACTCATGATTGTGGAGTTGGGATATGACATACGCAACGTAGAGACAATTTTCAGCATGATAGGGCCAAGAATGGGCCAAGAGTAATTTACGATATCGTCATGTTCTTCTTCATCATCATCCTTTGCTTCAGATGCAGGTCGCTTGGAGGAAGTGGACTACCAACCACCCAAGCATTGCTACTAACCGTCAGCTACTCGTACTGACCCTGATGTTTCATGACTGATGCATACTGATGCACTCTTAACTATTGACCACTCCACGACTGAGGCTGGTTCCTTGCATATTGAAACCCGCACCAGTTGTTGGGCTAACGGTCTAAACAGCTGCCCCAGGTCATCGCATGCGTGTGTGAGCCGGGTGATGTGCTCTACGTGCCGCAGGCATGGTGGCGATCCATGTGGTTTCTGGGATGGGAAGGAATCCGGTGGAGGGGTCAGAGGGGCAAGGGCAGAGGGCTCTCCTTCAAAGAAACACAGAAGTCTTCGTCTTCAGGGAAAATGCGCGTGTGCTGTCGAAAAGATTTGAGACCTACTTTGTTTTTGGACTTTCCACCATTTCCCACCCAAAGAAGGCTGGTGCACACCAATCACTTGCAGACTGCTTGGGCTTCTTTGCTGGTGTGTTCCCGTGACCCGACCCCCAAGATGCTTCAAGACCCCGTGGTGGGCGAGAACCTCAGAACCATAGACAGAACCAAAGCGAGACAAGCTGCTTCACATGAACTGCGTAGGAATCGCATATTCAATGTGCGAAGGTTGCGGTTGCAGAAGACTCAAGTCGGATGAGGTGCAGTACAGAGAGCAGCTTAGTAAGGCAAACCAATGTTTGCATCTTGTATTGTTGACAACCTTCGTCCTTGTTGTGTGAGTTCCGGAAGACAATTGCACCCTTCAAGCTTGAAACTCCCCAGAATTTTCCGAGGACATCCTCAGGTTTTTCACTGCATCACTAGGCTTCCAGCTGATGAGTTTGTGGCCAAGCTCAAACCCACCTTTCAATGTTCCTCCCAGGAGCAAGAAACTGTTCCTTTTGCGTTGGATGGTGTCAATCCCCTTTTGGAGAAGACTTTATACCGGTTTCCGGGTGCCTTAAGCACGGCAAATCACCGTTTTGGAATACAACATAATACAACTATGTTGGAAGACAACGATTCCCAGACTCTCACAGATCCAAAAAACAAGATGATTGGGTCAAAGCTGACCATTTCCGACAGGTCACAACGTCTTCAACACCCAACGCCCCACCCAGAAGGTCGCCCAGTCAGTCGATGTGTGTCGCCCATAAAAGCATGTCCAGTAGATAAAGCTGAATACCCACGCGTTGGTCGGGGCAAACCGCGGGCATGTTTCGCGTGTGAATACATGTTTTTCGTTGTTCCTTGTTGTTTGTGTGTTCAGCTTCTCAGGAACTTGGATGACCTTTCGCTGGGCATGGGCTGGGAGGGTGCTGATCATGGAGATTCAGACTGGGATGAAGCTATGCATGCGCCTCGACAGCAAGCAGTCGACCTAAAGATATGCTGTGCCCGGCAGCGGTTGTGGTCCTTTCAGTGAAAAGCCTCACATCACCCAACTGCATATTGCAACCTCTTCATGTTCATATGATTTGGTTCATTTGTTTGATATGAACAATACACGGCTATTTCCGACTATATCAAAGAATCGGATAGGTCAGGATTCGGTGCCCAAGGCATCAATTGAAGCAACAACAGCTAGACGCAGCTAGACTCATCGAATCCTACACAAGATTCCACAAGTGAGCATTCCACCATTTGTCCGACTGATTCAGCATACCTGCAATACCTGCCAAAAGTGTCGCCCATGAAATACATCAGTTTACACACGTCTACACTCCGGCATTTGGTCCAAATCAAAATTGGACTATCAAGAAGCGAGTAACAGCAAGGCTCTCAATCGGAAAGTCACACTAGTCACGGCAGAGTTTGCACCAGCATAAGGAACATGTATATTGTATAATATGTTAAATACCTCCATGTTGATACCATTTTCGTGTTCAAGTGCGTGTTGGGTCCTTTATTTGATTCTCACCCGGGGGGAATTCCGTGGTCACATCGACCAGGTCGGAGTACCTCTTGCTGACTTGTTTAGCTGGTCCGTGTGACTTACTTTTCCATGATCAAAAGCTCAGTTATTTGCTAAGTGTCCCTGGTCCCTGGTCTTGAGGTTTCGGTCTACTTAGACTCCATGCAAAACTGTGACCTGAAGAAAGGATGGTACTGGGCACTCACCACACTGGGCACTCGCCATATCTGCTTGGCACTGGGCACCAAGGCAGTGGCCGACGGCGATTTGCAGCTCCTGAAATCTCTAGATCCACAGGTCTCCCAGGAGCTCCGGGCGGAAAAGCGGACAGTCACGTCGAAAGGGTTTAGATGGAATGCCGCCTGAAGACGGTGTTAGAGGTGCTTTGTAATCGCTCTAGACAATGAAGGAAACTACAGGTATCCTTGTACAACGATGAACACTGCCAAATGGCCCCGGAAGACCATTTTTGAAAATATAGCATCTTCAACAAACAACCTTCCGTTCATGACGTATCTCGACAACGCAAACACCATTTCGCAATATCTTGGCCCCCGCGTGGGGTGGTTGTTGGTATTTGTGCAACCAGCTCATTGTTCCCTTTCGGTGAGTCTTCTAAAATTAGACGCTTAAATGTACAGCAGGACCCTGGGTCCCAGGCTAGGGTGGAAAACTTGTAAGCCCGATGAAACATTCCCCACATACTCACAGAGTTGTACAGGTTTGGCACCCTCACATAGCAACTACTTCTTGGCGCAAAGCCAGAAAGGTGCTGAAAAATCTGACCATGAATACCTCGTATCAAAGAGGCTTTTCTGAGGCAGACCCTCGTGCAGACGTTAAGCTCTCTGGTTCAGGGTTCCAATCGCCGAGATGATCACAGAGGAAGACCTTTCAGACTTGAGGCAGACATATAGCTGTGTTGCAGAAACAGAGAGGTATAGAGATTGAGATGCTGTGTCTACTCTTACTCCAAACCACCGGAGTGGACCACAAGGAGATGAAGAACGTTTCCTTGGTCCATGACTTACATGACTTTTTCCTGTTGACACCAGGAGATGATGTACCTGGCTGCACGCACTGGAGATGAGGAGAGTTCTTTTTGCCTGGTGGGTGTGGCCTCACACGGGTTGCACCATTAACGTATGAACATAACATCAAACAAGCGTGACAGACCCAAACGTGCCCTTGAAGCAACAATGCCGTACTACATCGCCTTGGACTGCTTGGATGGAACTCATTTTCAACTATAGTTACATAGACAACAAGATATTTCTTTACAACTCGAATAGTGGATGAGACGTGCAAGCCATGTGTTCTCTTTACATATGCCACTCAGAAGCGCTCAGTAGTTTGACTGTTTCTACTACAGATGAAAGACAGATTTCTCAACTGCAATGATTTGACTCCTTTTCCAATCCAATTGATGCCCCTTCGGCCTTCATTGGTAGTTGTCCAAGACAACTGTTGCTGATTCTCAGCCAGCTCAAGATAGCTCATGTTCACCTCGAAACGCTTGAAGTTAAAAAATTAATCAGTCGGATCACATTCGAGCCGGTCCCTTGGAAAGGTCTGTCAGAGCCGAGCGATGCGTGACCTCGATTTGTCGCTACAGGGAGGGGTGGGTTTAGGGTGTCCACATCTTATATAGTTTTGTATTCGACACCAAGACTCCAAGCAGATTAGACAGACTGGACTAGATGCACTCACTTTCACCGCGGCAACTGGCTCCCCACGTGCGATGCTCCATCAGGAGGTCGTCGCCTATTTGCTGAGTCGCCTGAGTCATCCGTCGGATATCCACTGGGGCACGGTGGCGGCGGCGGCTGCGATCAGTGGACATCAGTGCCTTGGATCGAGAGGCAAACGGTGGGCAAGCCTGGAACGTGATCCATACCGGTGTAGGTGATCCATACCGGTGGTCAGGCAAGCCTGTTGGAAAGCGAATTTAGGTGCTTCAACATCTGAAAGAACCTTCGAAGGTATTGCAATTATATATCTACATACACTGCACATGTAAAAATATGCACATATAACATATATAATATATATATATAATACTATAAATAATTGATATTGATCTAGATGTTTAAAGACCCCTCCCTTCCCCGTTTAACTCGACACACAGGTATCGATTTCTTGAATGTCTTTCAATATCAGAGGACGCCCTCCGGTTGGTAGAAGGGGCTCAAGACATCCAACTCACAGGCAATCAGCCAGCAAATAATCATGGATGTCAAAGCCAGCCTTTTAAAATGCAATCCTTTCACCAAGTGCCCTCAACAGTTCCTACCAGACCCCAAAATGAGGACATCCTAGGTGCTGTGAAATCGAAAAAGCGATGGCATCCACCACCGTCCGCATCCGTTTGCCTATACCGAGTCCATGTGAGGTCTGCCTTATCCCTGCTGCGGAAAGGTGTGGCCTCGCATGGAACGGTGTGGCACCCCTGGGTGCTCCATGCAGCTGTGCTGTGTGGCCAGCTGGCCACGGTGGAGGCTTTGCTGGCAGACGGAGCTGCTCCGAAGGCCACAGATGCGCCATGGCCCATGGCTGCGTGGGGCTTCTCCCTGGGGTGAGAAGGAGTGCACAGGGAATGACCATGTTCCCCATGTGGGGGTCTGAAACAAGCAAATACAAGTGCTTGGAGAGAGGCATCTCAGCGATATCCCCAAAAGAGGCTTGAAACTATGTACTGTACGATAAGATGATGAATCACAGTGAATCCTTTGCTAGAACATGTATTGGAAGCTGTACCTACCTTCTTGGGGATGCAGAGGCAAGTCTGAGGTAAATCGGAGGGTGGCATACATGTGAATATATAGTATAGTTGTGAATCGTGTAGATGGTGTCTAGAAGCCGGAGGGATGGAGAGAATGGACAGATATTGTTCAATATCGTTGCTGAAGGACAAATCAAAGCAACGTAAGAGGTCGTACCTCTACAAGGGTTGCGTGATTCTTATTTGCTTTGCCATATTGGTCAATATATCCATCATATTCCATCATTATGTCAATATCATTTTGCAGCACGAACTGGTTCCTGAGCGGTTCAGCCTTTCCCAATGCATTGAGACTACAGCAATTCCTTGCTGCAAGTGAAGGTCCAACCACTTCCAAGGCTTTGACCGCGGACGAGTCAGCTCCTGATCACTTCATCCAGGAGTTGCGAACATACTGCCTCAGAGAATCTGGATTTTTTTTATGAAGACCATAATATGTTCAGGTTTATGGTTTACGAGTATACGGTTTATGGTTTAATGGTATATTATACTCCCTTTCCAAAGTACAGCGATTTTGCACTTCCATGTACGAGAGGCTGTTCATCTGCCTTCCTGATGGGTCCCTTTCCGCAACAAAGGGCAGGTGTATCAACAGTAACAGATGAGGCTGGATGGAAGAAAATCGGCCAACTTGAGCAGGTCTAACATGGTAGATGAAGTCTAGATTGCGGAGGTCTCCTTGCCGTCCTTGCCAGGATGGAATACCTTGGACTCCTCTACATTTAGCATGCTGGAACGGCCATGAAGACGTCGTAAACGCTTTGCTCAAGGCGTCTGGTGGTTCGGACTTGGACTTCGTGGGTAAGGAGGGGAAGTTGTCTTCTTCTTATTGATGAGTCAATGAGTGTCAACTTGCGTTTGCAGATTCCATGGGCCAGACATCTTTGATTTGCGACATGATGCGATGTTCAAATAAGTCTGATTTCACTTCGTAAACCCAGGCGGCATATCAAATGCTGGCATGTTGAACATGCAAATTGCTCAAACAACTGCGATGGCGAGTTTGCCCTGCTAAACCTCAGAACATCTTACGATGCAGAGATGCAGAAAAGCCTTCTTTGCCGCCTTGAAAACATCGGAACGTATCGGAACAGCGTGTCTCAAAATAAGGTGATCGGATGCAAAGCAATACAACACATTGACAATCACAAGCAAATTCACTATCCAAACAGGGTAAAAGCAGAGAGAACCTCAAGACCTCAAGCCCGCAGGAAAATCCAAAACAATCCAGAAGTAGCCCCCCTTCAAAGCTTAAGGTTGACCTGGTTGTGTTTGTTTTGATGCCTAGCACGTGCCTAACGCACCCAGGAGACGGCTCCTGTGCCTATGTGGCGTCCAGCGTCCAGCATCTCTGCTGGTGCTTCTCCATTGCATTTGGCCGCTCTGCGGGGACATCCCCAGGTGTGGCTGATCGGCTCCGGCGGCTGCGTACCTGCGTACGTTGGAGGTCGCACGGATGATGTTCACATGGGAAAACCAATCCGAAGGGGTGGCTGTTTTCAGCAGCTTGGGTCGCGATGTCTTCCGCTCGTGTCTCAGACATGTTTTCAAGAAATCGGAGCTGGTGCCAAAGCTCATGGACTTCTCCCGGGATTGACGCTCATCGAATCGGTGCAAGTTCGCGAGAAGAACGCTTTGAGAGCGCCTGCTACGGTTTCTTCCTTCTTTTGAATGCAGCATGTTGCATGTTGCTTTGCCATAGCAACAGTGGCAATTGAATTTGTTGATCATGTATAGAACAGGTTTCGATACAACAGAAGACAAGACAACATGAAGCATCAAATGCAGTGTTCACAGTGGGCTGGAACGCATCGATTGCAACAGCGGAGGAGCAGGTTTAGGGAGGCCCACAGCATCAAGTTACTGTACATCAAGTGGATCAAAACCCAAACCAGAGAGATGGTCGTCGGTGTGTGCATTCATCACAGTGACGTCACGTTCACGGTGACTCACCGACCATCTGTTCTTGACACCGGCACCGGCATCGGCGTGCATCGGCGCGTGCGCATCTGTTCCAATGGAATCGCTTTCGTCCTTGGATGGCGTGGTGCTGCAGGTCCTGCAGCATCTCCTCGATGCGGCACCTGAACTTGCGGATGCTGTAGATGCAAGTGAGGCACCCTTGCACAGAACTTGGCCGATGTGGTTTTTCCTCCGTCTCTTCAAGTTGTTTTGATGTGTGTTTTTCCTTCAAAAATGCAAGCTCTGCAAGACGAATCCCGGTTTAGTGGTTCAGCAGGGTGAATCTTTGTTCCGGCCTCCTGTGAGGAGGTGTCCAGTATTGAGTATGAACTTCTCAGATGTCGTTCGTGCCCCACCTTTGCTTTCCATGGTTTAGCTGCAACATGCGCACTGGTGTGTGTGTGTGTCATCAGTTGCACCGGCTGCAGTGAATTCTTTGCGTGATATGAGTTCCTTTCACTAGGAACACAAAGGGCAACTGCAGAAAGGGTGGTTATGAAGTAACTCATTATACATAATATATAGTTATTTATAGGCAATACACTGGTACACAAAACCATCATGAATCAAACAAACTGTTTAGTCTCAAAATGCAAGATCAAATGGTAGGTGAATTTAAGGATACATAATTTACCAATTGGTCAACTTTCAGGTTCCAGCATTCACTGGCAAGCCAAGTGCACTCCGACCGGATGGAGGCTACACCCCTCCATCGTGCTGCGCAGGGTGGAGATATGGAGGTGTGGTGCCTGAACCGGTCGTGAAGTGGGATAAGCTCATTCTGAATGGATGCACATAGTGGGCTATATACTATTTTTTAAACTTGTGAGTTGTTTTAGTTTTTGTCATTCTTTCGGGGTTGTTCATGAAACACTGTGCTTGTGATGTGGACGGCTTGGACAAGATCGGACTCGCAGATCGGATTGCACCAGTGGGACAAAAGAGCCTGGGAATCGAAATGGCCGAAGACGGCAGATTCACCCGTGGACTTTTTAGAGTATGAACTGTTCGTTGATGTGACTGAGTTTCAAACATGCATTGAGGCGTGAAGTCATGTTCCTTTTGAGCTCAGTACCTGCAAGTTGTTGTAGCCTTTTGGGGTTTACAGTACAAGTGATGGACATGCTTCTCGAGGATGATCCCTTGCTTTAGATTCGAACAGTGTCCGGGTGGCCCACAGTGACCAGAAGATCTCCAACCAGGTCAGGTTCAGTTACTTTGACAGTAATGGACACTCCTCTCGGAATGCCCAAAGTTGCAAAATTCTCTATCATAAAAAAGGAGCGCTAAGAACTTAGTGCCAAGATGTCACCCTCAACCACAAACAATGTGGTCTGGCACTGATCTCCCCCACAGCTTGCCCGGGCACCGCTCCTGTTGGAAGGTGGTGCAGCAGCTCCTCCTGCAGGGTGCAGATCCCGGCGCCAAGACCGGCGACGCCGGACTGACACCGTGGCAGGTGGCCGAGGCGCCTTGTGGACGGCGGGGGTTGGCTGTGGCATTCTGGTCCAGGGTGAGGTGCGTGTGGTTGAGGTTAAAAACATGGTGAACACATATACTTGAATGAGCATGATGTATGTAATGCAATGTATTGTAATGTAATGTACTGCAATGCACTTATGTAATATTAACAGTATGTATACCATATTTTTCCACGTATCTTTTCTGCTGTCGCGAGGTCTCAGCCTTTTTGGCTTGGAACATCAACGCAATTTTGCCTGTGCTGCATCCTGTGGGCCACATGCGCGCACCAGCTGTTTGCTAGCCTCCCAGTGGTCTTCTTTGCCAGGAATGGCATGGGCCTTGCATCTTGTGCAGTAGACCTTGCCTCCACAGCGCCACATTGCATGGCTGGGATGTCCCCTCCACGTTGCAAGGGGCTTCCATGCTTGGTCCCAGCAAGGTTCTTGGGCTATGAGCTGCAGCTTGTTCCGAGCAGCATTGCGCAATGCCCTCACATGTCACTTGCGGCACACCAGGTAGTTCGTCTGGAGCTCAAAGTCATGGGCCACTACACCATCCAACGGGCCGTTCATGATCTTCTTGATGAAGTCCATTTTGGTCTCCTGCACCTCTTCTGCGTCTTTGTTGCCCCCAGTGTAGGAGAGCCCTCAGTCTGAGCCTGCCAAAGTTCGAGCATCTTCATGTGCTTGTTGACCCTCTTTTTGCACTGGGTGCATTGAAGGCTGGTTCCCTTGAGTGTCCGGTGTCCCTGTGGACTGCTGGAAAGGCCCATGTCGGTGAAGAGCTTCTGGTTGGCTTCCCTAGCCTGCTTCCGCTTCTCTTTCCCAGTTTCACGCGCTTGGTGCATTAAGTGAGTGCATTCTTCCAACAAGTAGCGGACCCTCTGAGCCGACAGTGGTGCAATCCGCTGGTACCTGTGGTCCGGGCTTTGCAGCTCCTCCAACTCATGAGGCCTCAAAGAAAGATCAACTTCCTTGGCAGGCTGTATGGCATCTGCAATACGGTTGCGGACTGACCACCTGCTGGCATAGCCTTGAGCTGCTTCATAGTGACTTTGACCCGATACATTGGTCCAAAGTGCGCTGGTTGAGGTCGAAGAACCCATGGACCCATGCCTCACGCACGCACCGAGAGCACCTGTATGCCCAACATGGAGCTCAGATCCACATAATGCGCTGCCATGCGCAAGCCGTAGAACGCCCTTTCCAGTGTTTGTTTCCCCGGCAGCACTGCTATCACTGCGCCCTGTCTGTAAAGTTCACCGCCAACATTGGTGTGACGCACCAAAGCCACAACAGTGCTTGGGGCGGGGATCAGAGCTGGTGTGGGAGATGCCAATGGTGACCACCTCTTGTTGACGGAGTTTCACCGCATTTTGCCTCGTCCACGTTCCCCATGCCTGAACAGTGGAGATGGTATAGGCAGGAAGCTGAAGGAGTCCTTGTGACCAAAATTCCAGGTTCAGTCCATGTGCCAAAAAAGATGCACTGCCGTGGCCAGCTGTGGTGCTCGTCGTGATTTCATCATGCCTTCATGATGCTTCGCATTCAGCCTCATGGTTGGTCTTTTTACCCAGGCAAGCGCAGTAATATGATGTTTTACTAACAATTGAACCAACAATTCTTCACCAAGGCTCCATGAGCCATTTACTTCAACAATTAAGTAAAATATATTATGTGTGTGTTTTTTGCCTGCCCGTTGGACATTGAGGCTCATGGCTTCCCCGGAGTGACTTCATCAAGCGCCAGCGGCGGCCTGGATGAGCACTGACGAGTAAAGCTGTGAGGTGCTCATTGCGCTGCGAAAAAAATAGGAAAACGAAAAGCTCTTGGCGGCCAGTCAGACTATGAAGCCATGCGAGGCCATGCAAAGCCATTTAAACATTTGAAGTCCTAGCCACCCTTCACTCAGGATTACACCCGGCATGAACATGTTTTTTCAAGTTGTGCAGAAGCTAGTGTTTCAGTGTGTTTGGTGTCCTTTCTCAGAGGCGTCCTCCACAAGGACCCCGTTTGGTCAAGCTTTCCCCATAAACGGGATCAGCTTCCCAAGAACCAGGAGCTCAAGGCGAAATACGTGTCCGCACTGTCATGAACTCAGTCTCTTCGAAGTATGACGCCATTGTTGGACAAAGAACCGTACGGCAGCATCGCTGGAGGCACCCACCACAACCTGTCAGAAGTTCCCCACGGCTTCAAACTACGAAACATCTCTCTATGCCCACAGGCGAGCACAGCTACTTTTCAAAGCTGCCTCTACCCATGCGACGCGTGTGCCTTAAGGGCACATCACCTTATGGGCTCCCCCGGCCCACTGACCACAGGTGGTGGGACGTGCCTGTCCGATTTCAAGAATCCACCTAATTTCTCCAATGATTGTCCCATTTCTCCTGTCAGAAATCCGATCAGATTGGATGAGCGTGAGCCCTTGAGCCCCCCAAACAATCCACGATCTCGATCGCTAGATCTAAACACTAGCAAATGTGTTTGTGTTTTGTTTTGTGTCTTGTTTTTTAATGTTTTTTCGGAGTGCCTTGGGCTCTGAGTTGCAAAGCACTGGGACGAGCTGTGGCAGATTCCAAAGAGGACTGGTAAACACTGACATCACTGACCAGGGACACAAGTTTTCGGTCATTTTCAACTAGAGTCTTTTTGTCAAGATTTGTTGTCTCTTTTAAAAACGAACCAGGTAAGCCATTAACCACATGCAAAATTGTTTGCAAGGACTGCTTATTGGCCAAAGTGACATGTTTGAGATGCGAACAAATTGCTTTGTCATAGACCGGACACTCACATTTTGCGTGTTTGCTTCTCTTCCTCTTGACCAATGCATTTGGGGAGCCTTCATTCTGATTCTTGCTCCTTCATCGCAAGGAGGACGTTGAAGAAGATGAGGGGGAGGCAGCCCCGTTCAGCTTGTGTTGATTTGTGCTGATAAGTAACAAGTCCAGTCAGCAGTCCAGGAAGAGCTTGTTCTGGCGTCGTGCCAGTTCAAAAGCCATTGAGATCCGATAGCGCTTGCTGTGACGTTTTCACAGAGTGTCCGGTCTTCTTCTCGGGATTTAGTCACGAAATGAATTGGTCCTTTCCTATCCGCTTGCTATTCTTGGCCAGGGGGCTCCTTATTTCAATTTGGTGACGTACAACACTTTGACCAGATTGAGCTTAGCGTTCCTTTGACTCCGGAGCGCTGGCACAGGTTTCACTTGTTTGACAAGATCTAGCCGTCCTCCAATAGAGATGGCATCAAATGGCACAAGTCAAGCTTTGGTGGTGAAATCGCATACTTCATCTACAGTAGATTGTCTCCAGAGCTGATTGTCAGACGGTGGCGTACACTGCAACTTCTGGGCCAGGAGCTGCTGTGCCGATGTAAAGATTTGATCCTCTTGTACTTGGGAAGCAGCCAACTCCTCCTCCAGGCTCGCCGCTGGTGAGAGGTTGTGGCATGCTTTCTAGAATAGTTCAAGTGAACATGGAACAACATGTTTGAAACAGTTCTGAAAGTCACTCATGCCAATTTGGACTGGGCCTCGTGTTGGGCCAATTTTTCATGTTGGGCTGACCTCACCATACTGTAAGTTACTGTACAATACCCATTAAACAGCAGATTTGGTACCGAGACACACCGCAGTGTTGCAGACTTTTGTCTCGTCGTGGAAAACGGACCCTGGCCAGGGCCAGGGTCCGTTCACCTGATACAGACGAGGTTTTTCTCGATCACAGAGATCTTTTGGTCAGTCCTCCAAGTGAGGGTGAAAATCGGCACCCATGTTGAACAAATCATCCCAACAAAGCCCAACTTACAATTTCGGTGTCAGGACTTGTCGTGCTGGACCTGTGAAACACTCGTAGACTCCAAAGCATTTGGTATTTCATGGCAGTCCATGGCATGTCCGAAGGAGTTCCAGCAGATCTACTCCAAATCAATTTGTTGAATGCACAAAGCCTCCTTCATCGACTTCGCAGGACACCACCTTTGAGCTTCGAAAGGCCAAAGCCTTCAAGCAACGAAAGCATGCGATGGATGGGGGCCAAATTGCCTGGTTGGCATGTGATATCATGTGATAGTCCAATAAAACCAGGTGTATATGGTTTATATGTTTATAATTTACAATTGTCAGGCTCAGGCAATCTTAAACTAACTAAAACCTCCCTGGCTGATGATAATGCTGAGTTGATCTCGGATATTTTTCCCTAGGTCCTGATCACAGCTTCTGAGAAGCTGCTGGGTGAGGGCAAAGCAGGTGGAACTGAAGATAGAAACATTTTAGAATACCTTGTGTTTTTACTTACATGGGTCTAGCTTGTGCTTTTGCTAATGTGAATGGTACAAAGATGTAGAATACATTAGAATACTATTCTCCAAAGAGACAAGGAAAATTGTATGCAGTACGCAAGGTCCCCTGAAATGCTGCGAGATGGAGGAGTTTGACCATTTCATCGAAGCATCCTACATGCGGAGACATGCGCGGATAAACCTTCCGACGTGCCGCGCTGCCGGACCAGGGTCATCGGTATGGCATTGTCGGATCGAATGGAACAGGCTGGCAGGGTGGATCAGGGATTGGAGGTCACTGCCCTCAGATAGGCATGTTTGGCAGCTTGGGACCACCATTTCGGGAGGGCAGAACATCTCGAGAGATGACATAAGCAATCTCGAGCAGCTGTGCTTTGGGTGGAACCTGCCTTGTATTTGTGGCCGTTGACACTAGTTTGGACGTGTTGGCAAGTCAAATTCCGGCGCTTCACAGAGCTTTGCGAGTTTTCGATTTAATATTGATGTCAAGAAGACGCAGCTGACTGTGAGAGATAGGCTTGATGGAGGCAAGGGCAAGCAAAGGGAACTGATTCCCTGGGTTTGCGACTTGCTCACTGGTGAGATTGATTTAAATCAAGATAAATCAAGTACTCGTACCCAAAATGCGAGTGGCACGCGGCTTTGGTCCATAGACAACAGGCGCTGCCTCACGCACAAGTCTTTGTGGTGCAATGCGCCAGACCTAATGGTGGTCAGACATCCGTGGACACCCGAATTTGATGACAAGCTCCTGGCAGCCTGGCAGCACCTTGCAGATGGTGGATGTTCTTGGTGCACTGAGAACAGCAAGCTGGATCTCCTTCGCTAACCAGTCTTGGAAGAGTTTGGCAAAACGACTTGGATGCCCGCCGTGCATCTCCGTGGAAAGAATCACGGCAGGAGAGGTATCAGATGGGCCGCCTGATTGTGTGTTTCCCAAAAGCATCTCCGATGCTTGGGTTCTCGTTTAGTCGCTTGTTGGGCAGAGCGAGACGAGGCCAGCATTTTCGTGGACGGAAGATGGGTGTGGACGGGGCTGTGGATGATGTGAGATTTACATGGACGCAGCATAAATGGGGCTATATACAAGGACAGTGACCATCACATTCACATGTTCCCTTCCGAACCTTCCCCAACGCTTGCTGAACTGCTGCTAGGGCCTAGCTCACATGTTACCCGCAGACTGTCCAACAATGGCACGGCATGGGAATGGGATGCTTCCCATCAAAGTATCTGCCGAAATTGGGCCCTGTCCCACCAGCCAAGCAAGCTCAGCCTGGAGGTTAGGGACTGTGCAAAGACTGTTGATTGAACATGTTTGTTCACACCATGTTGGATAAAGCAAAACGTCACATAGATCAATCTAAGTGCAGTTCTTTAGGCACCATGATGCTGCCCAGCTAGGATTGAGGCAACATCTCTGGACCCTGGACCGACAAGAGGTTATAGAGCGAGGAAGTTGCCAAGGAAGGGATACTGTGACCAGGGAGCAAAAAGCAGAGGTGCAGTGAGGTGCAGAGGAGTTGGGTCCCATGTGCAAGTCGACGTCCCAACAGTATCTGTCCAACCAACAAGAGGAGATTTAACCAATTTATATATAAGCGTTTCGATTTCCTGATCAAACCAGCGGGTGTACGGTTGAATCATGTTAGATCTTAAACAAAAAACATGTTACAGGTGGTGCTCATCGAACTTTGCCGCCTTCGGAGCTCGTTCCACGAGTTGATTGGAGCTGCCCTCTCTTTGTGCGGAACGAGAAAAGGAGCTTTCGGGCCTTCGCCTCTCAACACCTGAGATTCAAATTACAATGTAGTGATAATGTATGAAAATGATTGAACATGTAGTGCATATATTAAATATGTATGAACAAACATACTGTATATATATATTAAGATGACGCGCTGAAATAGCCTTATGTGATCAGATATTTTCCTTAGATGTTTTCGGTGTCGGCTGCATGCCATTGATATATATATATATATGTTATGGTGGGTTCATGGCCAAAGAGTTGTTTGAACTCCACAGCTCATTCAGCTCTTGTTGCTTCGCCGTTTTCTTCCAGGCAAGACCACCCTGATGGAGCGCATCGCTGATGGCGCCATCGCGGAGCGGTGGAACGGAGGGTGAACGGAGCGCTTTGACGGTTTTCGGTCGGATCGATGTGGCTGGCTGAATGCAGGCGTTGGCAATTGGCAACATTGCACATGTGATGGGTTGGAAAACATGTTGGACATGGAATTATCAAGGACAGGACCCACAAATTGAGAAGTCAAAGCTTAGCATGTTCCCCCATGTTGGTCCTTACCGTCCGGACTTTGCCTACATTGGCTGGATGTGCATGACCACTGTTTGGACATGTCGCTGATGTCAGTCGACCACCGCCTGGTCAGATGCCGACAGCTTTCGGAGACAGCAGCAGTAGCTGAGCAGTAGCCACCGGACCTGGACGATAGCAGCAACATTAGATTGACTCAGAGCAAGGGCAGAGAGGCGAGGGCTGAATTGTAGCGGAAGACATATATATTATGAAACGCTCGAAGTCAAGTTGAGAACTACGTACATCATCCAATAGACCAGTCAGGTGCGTGATGCGGCTATACCGCTCCCTGAGCACCGTAAAGCTTGCGTATATGATCACGGCGAGGGAGTCGCTTCGGAACGCAGAAAATAGTTCGCTTCGGAACGCGGGAACGGTATCGCTTCGGAACGCGTGTCAGAGCTAGTAGGTTGGAGGCCATCGCTACGACTAGTCTGCACTGTTTGGTTGCTAACTGCAACCCACCCCACCCCCCACCCCACCCCCCCACCCAACCCGCTCATTGGTTTGCACGGCAGAAGTATGCTTTGAAAGGCCATCAAAACGTGCGTGTGTGTGTGTGAAGATGTTGACCTTGTCCAATCTGGCAACCCTTTCAGCACTTCAGAGTCGCACTGTTTGGTTGCTAACTGCAACCCACCCACCCCATCCCCCCACCCCACCCCATCGTTCATCCTTAAACCCTCCCCATCTGTGTCTGTGTGTGTGTGTGTCCACCCCTGGACAAAGGGTTCTCCAGCATTTTTCTCACCCACCTTTTGTCACCAACCAATTGCTACCACAGGCAGGGGGCTCACGGGTCTGTTCCTGGCGTGAGCCAACGAAGCTCCAGGTTCAGACTAGGATATCGAAAGAGGACGCTCTTTCGACGTACCTGCGCCAACTTTTGACCAAGCCGTTCCAATCTCCTTTGGTTTGATTCCATGGTCTTTCATGTTTCCTTCCCTAAACCTTTTCCTCCCCAGCAGCGCTGCAGCTTGAGCCGCTTCGTCACCGCAGTCAAGGGAAACAACCTTTGTTCAAACACCTACAAGTTTTTCGGACCTTTCACCTTGCGGTTCTTCACCGTCCTTCCCAACGTGGTAACTGAGTTCACTGAATACAAATGTCGGAGTGTGTTCTAAAGTGAACCAAAAAATCAGGTGCGTTGTGTTCCAAAGTGATCTCGCTTTTTGCTAACCCTTCCATGTTTTTGTGTGTTTTGTGAGTTCCAAAGTGACCCATGTTTTGTGTTCCAAAGCGAACAAAAACCCTGAGTTCCAAAGTGAACTAAAACTTGTGTTCTGAAGTGACCCCGCTTCCTATGATCACACGCGAGATGTACTCCTAGCTATTGTGACATGCAGAGAATAAAGAAGCAGCTGGTGTTGGCAACGCACCAGGAGCTGGCGAATAGCAAGCTTCGTTTTGCTGGGAACCCTGGCGAGTAGAGCGCAAGTCTTGAGTTGCTCAGATTTGTCTCCATGGTGCCATCTAGGGTGTCGAGAATTGCCCTCCGCACCCGCAGAGGCGAAAACCAAGTCCAGCTCTTTTGGAATCACTCTTTGCTCATGGTCATCATACACCTTTTTATGAAAGGCGTTAGATAGATGTATATATATATATATTTGTATACTGTATATATTTGTTTATTTATGTCATTGTTTAGTAATAATATTATAGAACTATAGTAATATATTCAGCCCCAGCATTGAGGTCCAACAGCCCCTTAGCCGTAAACTCCTAACCCATTCAACCTGAATGCTTCGTCAAGCCTCAGTGGTCCGAGGTACATATTCGACATGAGGCTCTTGAAGAGAGTGCGGTGCTTGGATGACATGCTCAAAATCGATGAGAAATCGAAGCTTGAAAAGGGGGCCAACTTGGGGCATTTTGGTGAATCGAAGCGAAGACAAATTGTCTTCGAAAGCTCTACTCAGAATCTCAGAATCACTTGGACTCGGCCTGTTTTTTTCTCGCAAGGACTCAGTTGGGTTTGAAAAGTCGATAGGATAGCCAAACCTGCAACTACAGGTGTTCATGTTGTTCACCTGGCCCAAAAGGGCAGCCACGGGCAGCCCATCCAGCATGAGAAACCCTCGAATCGTTGATTTTATGTGCAAATTACAGTTGGGTCTTCAGTTGGATTCCTTCCATAGCAACACTTCAATTGGGCATGAAATGTTCAGAAAACTGGATGGACCATGTGCCAGTGTGCCACTGCCAAAAAAAAATAGACATATATATATATACCAGTATATAATTACACACACACATCCAGAAACATGGTGCAAAACTCCGCATGTGCGCATGTTTTTGAGGGGAGATCGAGGAAACCCATTCCTTCAAACGGGATCCTCTCGGACTTCGTCCCCTCGCCATCGCCGCAACCCGCGGAGCGCCGGAAATCCAAGGGAGCGACGTGTCTCAGACGGCCTTGGACTACGCGTGGCAGGTGCCGCAGGTCAAAAATGACCGGGAGGGGGATCGAAATTGGAAGTTACACATGTGGAAGCAAATGGCCACATGAAACATGACGGAATGTATGCAATATATACATATCTCTATATATATATATATATAAATAAAGGCTCCCATTTAGAAGAGGTTTCACAGTTCAATTGGGGTGGTTTGATTGATCAAGCGTCTACATTAGATGAATATTATGTTGTTCACATGTCCAGTTCATGTACATGGAAAGCAAGGGACCAGCATGGTGAGGGAAAGACAGAGTGGGTCAGCTTTTGGGGATGGGACCATGAATCCCATGATTTGGGATCTAAAAAACCAGCTGTTCGATGGTGGGCGGCTTTGGCGCCACCGGAGCTTTATATCGGTCGTACTAAGGTTGCCGTAACTGACTCTCTTTCAAAACATCGGTCGTTTGGAGCTTCCACGGCCTCCAAGGTGGTTGGCCAGGATGCCCCTTTGCACGCAGCCCTGGACGAGGACCGGTGGTGCCGGGGCTAGGCGGCTGCAGGAGTTAATGATATGACTCACATACGGCTCATGACTCTGACAACACAAGACACCACAGAGTCACAAGAAGTGCGGCCACGTCTCAGCAAACCTTGGAGATGGCAGCCTCTTTAGTTTTTAGGATGTCTTTAGGCCATGGAGTCAGATTTGAACGATACGAACCACTCCTAGATTCTAGACCCCTCATCGATAAAAAGAAGAGGGTGTTGTGTAGAGTTCTTACACGCTTAGATCATGTTACTTCTTCCCAAGGCCGAATCCGGTGGCACCTTCTGACGACCTGTCGGCACCGAAACAGGTGGGATTCACCGACGTGGGGCGCCTCAGGTCACAGTCGCATTTACCCATGTGACATGAGATAGACCAAGATTCGATGGATCTCTCACAGATAGACTGAAATGGCCACTGACCGGCCATTCTGAACCATGTCTCGTTCCATGGTTGTTTTCACGAGGATGAGGGGATTGAGTGGATGGTTTCAGCACAGAGAAAACAAACTGTGTAGGATCATTTGGAGCTCCACAGACCAAGAGACGGATGGTATATGTTGAACTATGAGCTGAAGCGGTTGAAAAAACAAAAACATTAAGAAAAGCGTCAGTAGATTATTCCTTAAATCAATGGGTGTCGGTCATTCACTGTCAGTCGGTTCTCTCCGTCGTCTCGGCTGCTTCTTCGGCCGCAGGAGCTCAGGATGAAACCTGTTTGCGAGCTTTCAGGAGGTGGCTTTCCACAGCCGACATCAGTCGTTCAAATGTCGTTCCGGAGGTGTGCAAAAGGGATCAGATTCTTGCTAGTACATGTTGGTTTTTTCATGATTTAACCTCTCCAAGACCTCAGACCATGTCCTTCCTATAGCAGAGTGACCCCAAATAGATTGGGATCTCCTTCTCAGATTTGTCCAGAACAAGCCGATGAATTTGGATTTGGAACCATAGCAGGGAAGACGAGAATGAGATGCAGACCACAAACATACCAAATAGATTCCAATAACAGGGGAGGTTGCCTTTCTTGCTTCCATTCGGCTAGTGCGAGTTTCGCACCCCAAATTCGGCAGCGGGTTCTTGCACTTGGCTGAGTCATTTGCAAATATATGCAGTGAGATTTGACAGCAAATCCACAGAAGTGAGTGTTGCCCAAACGTTTGCTCCAGGTTGGCGTGTAAGGCTTTTGCTAGCGACAGCAGTCGCCCGTGCTGCAGATGTGCTGCTCTTGGACGAGCCGACGAATCACTTAGACTCGCAGGTGACTGGTGGGAGTCCAGGAGAGGAAGACGTTGGGTGTTGATCTTTTTTGGACTGAAAGGTGATGAAGCAAAAGTTAATTATCATTTAGACCTCTATGATCTCTAGAGATCGTGTGTACCGAATCCTATAGATACTGTAGATAGGGAAGATACAACCTGTCAAAGTCTGCCAAGTTCTTGTTCAACAGTCACATGGTGCATGGGTTGCCTGAATTTGTTGCTGCTTTCCTTGCAGTTGTTTGTTCCGTGCCAGGCGCGGATGTTCTAGTTTAGTAAGGCCCTAGAGTCAACGAGTGTACCACTCCAGTACCTGATCCATGCATGTTCATGCGCTGAAGGATGAAATCAATGAAGCTTCAGAGCCCCCGGATGACCCGATGTGTTCGAAGAAATCACAGCGTCAAAATTTATTTCGACACGTGGTGTCCAATTTGGTCCTTGAAGCCAAAGCCGTCCCAGGGTCTTGTTAGTTTTGCTGACCTACGCATCACCAGCTGAACAGGCAGTGTCCTGGCTGGTGAGCTACTTGAACCACCGCAAGTCCACTTCTGTGGTCGGGGCTCCCATTCGAACGACCGCCTTGGGGCCTTTCACAGGCGTCGGGATGGTCTTCGGACACCCGCGGACCGGCGGACAGAGTAGTGATTTTTCTTTTATTAAATGTGGTTTTTTACTCTGGAGGTGTTGCTGTCAAGCTGAGGATGACGTAAAGGCACAATGCCACTGCACTTCTGGGGCTAACTCACAACGATCTAAAAATGACACAATTGAACCAATTCTGTCTCCCATGGTCTCCCTATTTGGTCTTCACATCGCTTTATAGTTTGGTTTTCTACTTCGAAACCTTGTGAGGCCGTTTTGTGCCATTTTTTCCTTGTTACGCTTGACCCCTAAAGAAATTGGAAGGGCGGGATCCAAATCCTCACGCCTCTGGCAGCATGCCCTGGAAAAAGAACACTGATGAACCTAAGACTCTTTTTTGGACCCTTTGTCGAAGCTCTTTTCAATTGGTTTCGCAGAAAGCCTCAACCCAGCCAGAACCCTTGCAGACCAGCAAGATCCTCTCTTCTTACAGACCCATGTGGACTTGGAAGCCTAGGTGGTTTCACATGACGCGCTGTTCCTGGACCAAATCTGCACCGACATCATCCACTTCGATGAGGTCGCGACCTCGGGGTTCCGACCCGAGACGTGTGAACTGGAGGTGTTGCCCTAATGGCAGGGCTCAAGATGTTTGTCCAAGGAGGTCCATTGATGTGTTGTTTTTACCAATAAGATTCAATAAGATCCAATAAGTAGAAACTGGAGAGGTGTTCGTGCTTGGAAGGCAGATTTGCTCCACTTCGTAGGGAGAGATGCCACCTGCTCAGTGTAGGCCCCTAGGCTGCCAACATGCTACCAGGGTGAGGAAGTGAGTTTGAATGTTTTGCTTGTGATTCCACTGGACCTTGTAAGATAGTTTGCCTGGCATGTTAATCAACATGTGATTCTCCCAGTTTTGGAGGTTGCAGAACTGTGATGTGTTTTGACAACACTCACAGTGGTGAGAGTTTCTTCGCTGACTCGATCTGGCTCGCGCTCAGTGTCAGCTGAAGTACTACCGCGGCAACTTCAGCGTCTTCCAGCAGCAGGCTAGCCTTTTCGGCAAACACTTCTCCATGAAGCTGTGGAGAGGACGCTGGCCCCGTGAGACGGGGCGGCGGTTTCTGATCGCGAGCGCATCGGGCAGAAAGCACCAGATCGGCCACTCGTCCACTAGCGTAGCTCTCCAGATCGGCATGGGATGTGACAGGATGATCCACCATCCCAAATCCAAGCCTTGCTCAGCCTGCCTTCGGTGAAAAGTGACGACCCAAACACCATCGGGGGCAGGTCCCGTCCACCAGGGTCTGTGCCGGACAAACGGTCGAGCCAGGCTCCACAGTTCCACCCAAGGGACTTGCTGAAGGTGCGCGGCTCAAAACCGTGCGGAAACCGGACGCCTGAGGTCTGTGTTTCCTGTGGAAACGTTGAGGCAATTTCTGCGGATCGTGTGAGTCGGCAAGCCTTTACAGAGCTTAGGCTTAAGCTTTAGGAATCGGAGGTGGTTGACTCTGGCAAGAAGTGATATTTCTCGCCTTCACCAACTCGGCCAGCTGAGCCAACGGGTGTCAAGTCGATCGAAGCAGGAAATTCACTTCTTTAAAGCCATTTGCAGCCCTTGGAGGCTTGGAGGTGTTGAGACAACCTACCAAAAGTGGGGAAACATTTATAGGATTCTATATCCATCTATATCCCCGTTGCTACCGGCTATCTAAAATGAGTGGGCCCGACCACGGGAAAACCATGGTAGTTGATTCATTTAGTTTAGGGTCATCTAAAATTGATCTCAAATAAAGTGGTTGGCAGCGACAGATTTGTGAACTTGTCAAGTTAGCCAGTTTTCAAAAAAAAAGCACAGGCGGCATAAGTGTTTGAGACGGGAATCCATTTTTAGTTTAACATTAGTCTGGGCGAAAATACGAAAAGTCATTGTAGATAACAAAATGTCGGATAAAATGGTGGGTGAACCTCATCCGGTAGCAACGGGTATGATTCTATAGAGGTTCAATCTGCCACTTCCCAAAGGAAAAACGGTGCAAAAAGCTGTCATCATCACAGTCTCTTTCACTGGACCTTCACTGGGTGCGACGGTCGTTCTTCGGTGAGCTCAGGTCCGCTCCGAGAGCCAGCCAGAAATGGCGTCCGTGCGGAAGGTCAGCAGAATTATGCATTCCACGTTTGCTGGGGAAGACAACTTCATAGCAGAATAGGCATCTTCGTAGCAGTCTTCATAGCAGGCAAATTACGTGAGATTCATGCAGCTTTGCTAGCTGTGTCAACTCCAATTGCGCACATGTGTAAACTCATACAGATTCACAGAGGAGTGACCTTGCACGTGTGAACGTTCTAAAAGTGAAAGGAGGCAGTTTACCAAGCATAAGGTGCAATGATACGAGAAACGAGTGTGAAAAACAGAAGAGTACTTGTGAAGCTGTGTTCGACTCTGATGCTCTGTGTATACAACAGCTGTGGAACAAAAGGCTTTATTTCTCACCCTTTGGATACTGTACTCATGGATGTCCCAGCGGGCAAGGAAACTCCAGGTGGTTTTGACAGTACACTGGGAAAGAAGGTCAGGCTTTACTAATGTGCAGAGCTGACATGAGGACAATACTCATTTGCCGCTTGTCGGTTCGCTGGTATACATGGCTGGAAACCAGTTCTCCCTGCTCCCTCGCATGCTCAGGCTGTCCCAACGCCCCAAGGAGGCAGGAGGGCAAAGGTGAGCGGGGTAGAAGGTAAACCTACTGCTTCCCAATTATTTTTAAGTAGAACGAACGGAATGATTCTTAGCAAAACATGTAAGGATGGAAGACAGTCAAAATGCCAGCGCCACGTTGGCGGAGTTCTTCGTCGTAGAATGCGTCGGACTTTTTTGCCCTCACTAATTCGGAGGGCTTTGGAGCTTTGAATTTCCACACCTGTACCTCTCAGAGGTTTCGCGCAGATTGAAATAGTGTTCAGATTATTCAACAAGATACCGAGTCATTCGGAAGTAAAGAGCATGGAATGTAATGTAATATAGATATACTGGAGTTACTGGAATGTAATCTATAATGTAATGTAATGTAATGATGTGCAGTGTAATGTAATGCATGTTATTTTGTGGTATGGTATGCGACGTGATTCCATGTCATGTCATGCTATGGTGTGTATGTAATGTAATGCAATGTATATTTCGATTGTCATGTAATGTAAGCATTGTGCTGTATGTACTGTACGTTTGTAATGCATGTATGCAATGCAATGCAATGCAATGCAATGTCATGTAGTGTAGGGTAGAGTAAGGTAAGGTAAGGAAGTAGGTCAGTATGTATGTAATTGTATTGTATTGTAATGTAATGTAATGTAATGTAATGTAATGTAATGTAATGTATGTATATATGTTAGTATTTTCGCACTCTAGCGTAATGCAATGTAATGTAGTGATGTTTCTGATTTTCAAGACGCTGGACGAGTCGTCGTTTTCGCGCATTCTGCGTTGTTCCTCTTGGGTGGCTGGTCACCCAAGAAGCGTGTTCAAAACTTGGCCAAAGGAAGGTTCGCTACTAGTAACAAGTGCCACGCTAGTAGTAACAGGTGCCTTACTAGTTAGTAGTAACAAGGTTCGCTACTAGTAACAAGTGCTTCTTTGCGGGTCTGGGTCGTCGATGCCTCAAGCTCAGGTCGTTTTAGTAGAATCGATGGCAAGCCAGGTGGAGTCAGGGCACCACGATCCAGAGCTGCACCCTCCCCGAAGTGTGAAGGGTGTCATGCTCAGTTCCCTGCTATTTGGTATCATTTCAGGGAGGTTCACCTCAGCTCCAAACGTACTTTGGGATCAAAGTAGGGCCAAGCAAAGGGTGAGAGCAATCGATAAAGACGCAAGCCACCATTGGCATACTGGAAGCCATTCCAACAGTAAAGGTCCAGAATGCAATTGTAATTGTAATTGTAATTACTGGTGAAGTATATTATGTTGTGTACTGTACTGTGCTGTACTGTATAGTGTGATGAAGGGTAATAAATGTATCTAATGTAATGCAATGGTATGCTCGTAATGGTACATGTTACATATGTATGTTATATGTATGTTATGTTATGTTTGCAATGTTATTGTAACGGTGTGTATTGTAATCTATAGAGTGTAATGCAATGTAATGTAGAGCTATGTACCTTAACCTAACGTGAAGCCCCAGAACCTAAACTTCTGCTTTGTGAAGAAAAATGTGGTTGTGCCCCGGTCTCAACAAGATCGACATAGACCGCAAAACGATGGTGTGCCGCATATCAGAGGTTTCCTGATTCCATATTCAACGAATTCATCTCCTTGGTTGTATTGGGACTTGACCATACTTGACCAAGTATTTGTACAATAAAGTTGTTGCAAAAGCGAACAAACAAGGCTTTTGTCCAGCCAGGCCTGTGGATCACGTTCCAGCAATCACGCTTCAAAGTACGAACTCATGTGGCGACAGTGGGTTGCCCAAAACACTATCACTTCAAAACCGATATTCATGAAAATCATCTGGCGGCGTTTTGACCTGGAGACTGTGACTCGGCCGCGTCGCGCGGGATTCATTCATCACCAAAACACTTTGGAACCAAGGCTATCGCATGGCCTTGCCAGTGCCCGGAAAGGTGGGTCCCGTGGACACGGCTCGTGTCGTTTGGGCGGACGAGAAGCGGTGTTATTTGCTTTGCAGACAGGTATAAATATATTGTAAACAATTGAATGCTCCACCGGTAGACTGGGTAGTTGAATCATGTTGAATCGTTTTGTGTGTGTTTTTCGGTATTCAGTTTGTATATATTTATATACCGTTTTTCTCCCACAAAACAGAGAGATCCTGGGCAGGTGGATTGCTTCAACAGATTCAGCCAGTGGACTGCAAAACAAGAAAAACAACAATGCCATTGCTACTCAAAACATGATCCAGGGATTCCCAGAACAGAAGGAACCGTGAAGCATTATTTGATCTTGTTGCTATAACCAGGTTTCGCATGCGACCGGTGGATCTGATCTCGCAGCCAAACAGTGGCTGAGTTCTGCAAGGCACCATCAGTGCCCATTTCTAAAGCGCTGTGTTTCGTTCTTCGGTGACAGAACTGGCACCCTAGTTCGGTCTGGAATGTCGAAATTCTTGTTTCTAATAGCTTCTTGTTACTACTAGTAAGGCACCTGTTACTA